GGCAAACTCTACAATGTACTGAGTTAAGGCGTTTCTCACATGCGATTAAATCACACCTGATGATTCGTAGGTCATTAACAGTATGCTGTTGTTTTTGTTGTCCATGTGTCATGTAACTTACATATATTTGAATGCAATAGGCAGTGTCTTGAAAGGCACTATTAATTAAGGCATAGGTGGGAATGTAAATAAAGGACGGTATCTACCACACTGTTTTCACTAACAACCTCACGACAAGAAATCTGCATTGTATATCCTGGTTGTTTCTTTCCCTTATTTTTGTAAAAACTTCCTAAATTTTCAAGAATATTGTCTTAACCAACAATTAAGTGTAAAATTATCTCTTGGAAGCGATGCCACAGCTTAGTTCTAAACTGCAAATTGGCTGCTCTTTCCCTTAGGAAGGCGGATCATGGCTTGTTAAATCCGCACAACTTTATGGCAGAATGTCTATCTAAGTAGCTTGATTGAAGAACGAGCGTTCGAAATTTCTGAAAGCAGACTGGAACTTTTCGAATGTTTATTGCTAGTCGGAGGAGTAAGCCTGAAAAGGTGTGGATTCTGTCTTTTAATAATTGGGACAGATTTGCTCAAAATACTACCAAAACCATGGTCAAAAGAATGCAAGGAAATTAACGTAAGTATAAATTCAAAGAATCACCACGATTGTAGGGATAGCCAGCAAAAGTTTGGTATTCTTCCAGCCTGGCCTATTATTGGTATGCTAACTGTTTACAAAACAAATCTCTCAATCCAACTTAGGTTTGCTACAGTTTCTACGCCGCAAAATAGAGAACGTTAGCAACGTCCTTGGCGACTCTATAAACAAAACATATATAAAACGGTGGGAAAGCCTCGCAGAGGCATCAACCATCCTGAAATAGATCAGTGTACGAATACCACTACTATATACTCCCAATCAACAATCGTCAAGACAGCGAACTCGTGGCTCAAGGGTTAGGACGTCTGCCTTTGACCGACGAGACACGAGTTCGAAACTCGAGTGTGGCAGCAAATTCAGCGGCTGCACTAGAGTTGGCTACCCCTAACCGACGACGGCCAATACAGCCAGAAATACCAATCCTAGGGTGCCTGTCTTTACCGGTAATACCTATAGAAATATACGTTATTGAAACTTAGTAAGTAATATTACTATTCGCCTTGCGACATACGCCGGTGGGCAAACTTCGCAGAGGCATCAACCAAGATGGGTACACCCTGAAAGAGATCCATATGCGAATACCACTACTATATCAACGAATTGCTTGAGATTTGTAACTTATTGCCCTATTATGACAATGTGGGGTGTAATACGTGATACCGCAACGCAATAATGCATGCTTAAGGTACGTCAAAAGATGACGGTATTCGTTTTTAGTCACGCAGTAACCAGTAGCTTGCGAATTTGAGACTCAGGGTTTGCACTCCTTTAGTTGTGTATGGTTGGCTGATGACTGCTAAGAAGGCAGAAATGACACTCGTTTATGAACGCTGGCAGACCGCTTACGGAAATTACTTGCCCCTTGGCCTCATTTCTCGGGACGTCACAGCAGCTGTAGTAGCTAGTAGGCTTGGACAGATAGTATTGCAGGCAATACTACCTGCATCAGACAGAAATGCTCAGTTCAGTCCCTCCCGTCTGTGTTTGTAAGTACTATCGTTGCCTGTGTTGGTGAGGCCACCGTTTTCATCTGGTACCGGAAGAAGTCCCCATACGGTTTTACCATGCTCCAGGTTGTTCCTGCTATCAAGTACGCAGATTTTTCATCTTGTTAATTACCCTATTTCTGTCACGCACGGTTTGGAAAGTTTCACATGCGAGTAAACGATAAACTTAAGGCTTCATGTGATTCCCTCTTGTGATCACGCAAATCCCACGAACATCTTTTTTTTCTTCAAAGATATGCAAAGCGGGACCATGGCAATTGTTCTTATCTACCTGATGTCCATTCTCGGTGCGTTTCAATGGGCCATGAGACAGGGAATAGAAGTTGAGAACCAGGTAGGATGCTGATGTTTTATTTTCAATCCTCCCATCTCCCTGCCTACTGTGACGATTTAGTTAGCTTTCTATTCTGCTGCCCTTTTAGATGGTATCGATTGAACGTCTCATAGAGTACACTAAATTGCCACCCGAGGAGGCAACAAATGCCACAATGAACGACGTCGCCATGTTGCCATTGATCAGCGTGGATCCACAATGGCCTCCGCTGGGTGAAGTGCAGTTCCAGGACGTCTGGTTCAAGTACCCCGGAAAAACTAACTGGACCCTTCGAAAGATCAATCTCCATATTCGTCCCGGCTGCAAGGTTAGTCCGTTTCTCCCATTCGATCTTTCCCTTCGATAGTTGTTTATATGCACTTGAGTTCTAAGTTGATTTAACAGTCCGTTTGGACTAAAATATCTTTCAAAGCTGTCTTCACTTCTCGTATAATTCCCAAAAGAACGCTTGCATTCACCTCGATGTCTACACGGTGAACCATATCGTCTCGACCCTGAACGGTTTTAGTGTCCCCTGAT